GAGAAGGTTAAGTAATTTGCCCAGGTTATGCAAGCAGCACAGCCAATATTCGAACCTGGGTTTGGATGCCAAATCTACTTTTGCTCAGTAGCGTCCCACCTTTGTAAAACCACCTTCTCTGACTTCCCACAGCCTTCAGGGGAAAGGTGAAGCCCCTCAGTTTACTACTCCAGGCTTTTCTTTACCTGGTTCTAGCCTCTACTATCCCCTCTGGCCTCCTCGCCTACAGCTCAGTCACCTCTTCCAAAAAACCTTCTCTGGTGCCCTTCCTGAGTCTCCCAGAGCACCCTTGCCATATTTCTATCATGAAACTTGCCACACTGTAATGTAAATATTGATTTAATTGTCTGTGTTCCTCAAAAGGCCATGAACTTCTTCGGGCACTGTGTCTCATCCATCTTTCCATTACCACTATCTAGCAAAGTGCTTGGCCTAGAGTAGAAAGTCAGTCAATGGGTATTGAATGAATGATTGAGCGAGTTGATAAATTAATGAATATTAAGCAGGAAAGATCCAAATATAAAGCCCTACCACTTTTTATAACAGTGGTGCTTACAGTGGGGTCCCTGGACCAACAGCAGTGTTATCTGGGAACTTAGAAATGTAAATTATTGGCCCTGCCCCCAGAATCAGAAATTCTGGGGGGCAGGGTCTAGCCATCTGTAGTTTAACAACATTTCCAGGTGATTCAGATGCACGTAAATTAAGAGTATGGTTATACAACAGATTAAAACTGGCAATACACATGCAGAAATAAACAACAAAATATAGTCATTAATACTAATCCCTTACATTTAGTGGTACTTAATAGATTATAAAATGCTTTCCTATCTACTATCTTTGAAATTACAGATGAAATGGAGAGAGAAAATGATTAAGGAGTTCAGACCTGTTTTAGATACACTCTATTTAGTAGCTCACTGAGTTCCAAAGAACTAACTCTTTCAGCTGACACATCTGGAAAATAAGAGTCTTGTGTCTCTATAGCAGTGATGGCGAACCTTTTGAGCTCAGCGTGTCAGCATTTTGAAAAACCCTAACTTAACTCTGGTGCCGTGTCACATATAGGAATTTTTTGATATTTGCAACCATAGTAAAACAAAGACTTATATTTTTGATATTTATTTTATATATTTAAATGCCATTTAACAAAGAAAAATCAACCCAAAAAATGAGTTCGCGTGTCATAGGTTCGCCATCACTGCTCTATAGGAATGTTTTCTTGACCAGGCTTGGGTAGCAGTGGCCTCTGTGGTAAGCAGACCTTGCCATGAAATCCCATTGGATGAATGAAGATTCCAAGTGGGCAAGGTCGAATGTGAATGAATGCTAATTGGAGTTGTAGGAAAGCTAAAGCTATGGGGAAGAAGGCATACTCAGGCTATAAGTATTTTTAATACTTTGTGCAGGCATGACGTCTCTGTAAGTGAAAGCTGCAGCTTGCAAAACTATATGATCCCATTCTCATTTAAAAAACATATTTTCACTCTCAGTAAAATTTTGTGAAAGGCACTAAAATATAATGGTGATTTTCTTTGGTTAGTGGGATCACACCTTACATTTTTTTTTTTTTGCAAAGAACAATTTTTATAATGACAAAAAGATAAAAAAGATATAAAAATTGGTTCTGTGGGGAGACCTACATGCAGAACCAACAGCTGGTGTAGCTGGAGGAGGGATTTGAAAGGGATGATTGGGATCTTAGAGGCTGGAAGGAGCTGGAAAGAATTCAGGACAATCACTAACAAGGGGCCTCCTAAAACACTGAAATAAGAAGAGGAGATGTCCTGCTAGTTTTCTGCTAACTTGAAGGCAACTTCAAGCAAAAGAGAAGGAAAGCCCTGGGACATGGAAAGAACAGGGCCCCCCCCCCCCCCCAGGACTGTGAAAGGTGAGAGGGCTCACTTGGAGGGTGAAAGGGAGGGAAAATTATCCAGAACATTTAATGGCTCCAGGGCTCACAACTGAAGGACGTCTAAACTGGAAAGGAGGGATAGAAGAAGTGAACAACTGGTGCCTGAAGCAAAACGTTTAGCACTTTAAACTTGCACCAAGCTAATTGCCTAAAACGAGAATTATGTGCCTGAAATGTCTGTGTTCTGAATATAGTTTTATACCCTAAGATTTTTTTCACACCAGGGTAAAAATTGTCTGAGTTCTTGAAAATGATTGTCCAAGCAATAGTTACTTTGGAGTGGAGGTTGATACAGAATTAAAGCAAAAGTTCTGAATCTCAAGGGCATACTCTCTGGAGAGGTTACCCTCCCCCTATTTTTGAGCCTTGTGAGTGGAAAGTTATTATTTGAGCAGTTTACATTTATTAAGCAGATAGTGTTTGGAAGGCTAAGCGCTTATTCTTCACAGGAGCCCTATAAGCTAGATACAGCTATTATGCTCAACTTTACAAATCAGAGAATGGAGATCTAGCTGGCAAAGGGCAATGTTAGGATTATCTGGCTCTGAAGCCCAAATTCTTCTATAACACTACCCAGCATTTGTTCGTCTTGAAAATGTTCTAAAGCAAGTAACAATAACTATAAAATACTAAAATTAATAATGCCTAGGGTGAGGTTATAAAGAAACCGTCATACTCTGTTTTTAGAGATGTAAATTAGTTTGACCTTGCTGAAGGACAATTTGGCAATATTTACCAGAAGAATCTGGAATGCAAGTACAGTGGGGCCTTGACTCACGTTAGTGTCCCGACTAACGAGTTCTTTGAGATACCAGCTGTCTCTTGGCCGATTTTTTGCATTGAGTTGATAGAGTAATTTGAGTTAACGAGCTCCTTAATGAGCTCCTTAACGAGCTCGGTCTCAGAACGAATTAAACTCGTAAGTCAAGGCCCCACTGTATCAGTTTTTTCAGTTATCGCAGTACCGGAAATTCACCTGAAGTATTAGCTGGCAAGATATAGGTGTGTGGAAGATATTCAGTAAAAAGAACTAGGAGCAACCAGTATCCTTAATAGGGAGCTGGTTAACTAAACCATGGTTCTGCCATTAACAATACATGAAGTAGATCTATATGTTCTGAAATGGAAAAATCACCAAGATACAGTAAGTGTTTAAAAAGCATGGTACAGAATGCTGTATATAGTGAGATTACTTTTGTAGTAATTTAAAAACTACATATAGAAATTGGTTTGATAGATATACTAGCATATAAATAATGTTTATTCCCTGAAAGGAAATACAAGAAGCTTTTTAACAATAAATACCCTTGGAAAGATTAACTGATTTGTTTTATTATTTCTGTGTCATTTGGAGATATTTGGGTTTTTTAAAAAAAATTATCAGCCCAGGACATGCTTAGAGAGAGGAAAGGAGGAAAGGGGAAGAGAGGGAGGGAGGGAGGGAGGGAGAAGGAGAGAGAGAAAGAGAGAGAGAGAGAGAGAAAGAGAGAGAGAGAGAGAGATCAGTATCTTGTTTTTCAGCCTTACAATATATATCTTGGCCATTTTTTCATATTGGCACTTCTCTTGTTTAATAGCTGCATGGTATCCCAATTTGTGAATGTACACACACACACACACACACACACACTACTTTTGATTATCTATTGGAGGACATTTAATGCTCAACTTTAAATGACTTCCAGTTGTTTGCTTTCCTAGATGCTGCTGTAATGAATCCCCCTCTTAAAGTTTAGAGCAGTGGTTCTCAACCTTGGCTGCACATTAGAATCACCTGGGAATCTTTTTAAAATCCTGATTTCTGGGCCTCATCCTCCGGAAATTCTGTTTGGTTTTTGTTTTGTTTTGTTTTTTTGTTGTTGTTATGGATTGAGGCCACAACATTAGTAACAAAGACACAGAATTTCCGGAGGATGAGGCCCAGAAATCAGGATTTTAAAAAGATTCCCAGGGGATTCTAATGTGCAGCCAAGGTTGAGAACCACTGCTTTAGAAGGATCTTCAGACTGAGCATGACATTTATCAACCCTGTAGTTGCTGAGAGCAACCCAGTGGGACTCTGTCCTGAGGGGAGGAGTATGTTTTACTGCGCTGAGAAACAAAGAACTCTCTCCAAAACACTTTGACCAACACATTCAGAGCTATTAGAATTGCCAACAGGTGGGATGACCTCAAAAAGAAGAGCAGCGTGTTCTGGCAGTTTAGTAACAGTGCAGAAAGTTGCCAGACGGCTCAACGCTGATTGCTAGATCATAAGAGGAATTTCTAGACTCAGTTACAAGCAGGGCTGGTGCAGCACTGTGGATTCCACCAGACAGTCTGGAGACAGCTAGACAAGGAGATAGGCAGCAGAGCTCCAAATCAGGCAACAGCACATGTGGAAGGAGCAGCGACCTATGGGGAAACCCGTAACTCATAGACCAAACCTCTTCCAGCAGAGGGCAGTGTCTCAGATATCAGGCGAGACCCGGACGGACCATCTGGAGCCAGAGCTGAGGACTTCACTGGACTGATTGCACCAGCCCTAGGCCGAAGAGAAACTGAACTAAACTGTCCTTTGGATACTGTAAGTGACTTTGGGGAATACTCAGGGAGAGACACAGTAGGACTTCTTTACACTACTGTGATTTGCCTGTTTTCTATTATCTAACAATTTGAGTTTGGTAATATTTTTATACATTCTGGCCATTAGAGCTTGCAGGCAAGGAGTTTGAAGTCAATTTAACTGGTCTGGCCATTGAGTCTCACAGGTTTCTGGGTGCGTGCCTGAATCAAAGAGGGAGTGACATTCCTAAAATATAACCTAGCTTTCTGGGCCTGTGGATCTGACACAAAGTTTACAAATAGAAAGTTGGCAGAGGGAAAGATATGTAAGAAGTACCAATTTTATCTAAAAATAGAAAGTTAGTGTTTAACACCAGAGTCCTTCCCTTTGGAATTTCAATGACTATGAAGGATGGCCGTTAAAAACTTTGAGAAAAAGCCAGCTTATAAATTGCTGTGCATGCAGATAATGAAAGAATCAAAGAGGTTAATCTGCAGGAATAAACAATTTCCAATCAAATCTTTCCTGAATACTGTTTACCTTTCCTGCTGTGAAGCTTTGTTGGAATCAAAGGGAGGCAAAGCTGAGTTGGAGCACCTGTGAAGTCTATTTGCAATCCTTTTGTTTTCTGAGCCTGGTGACAAGAAAGAGGAGTGACTTTTGGCATTTGCTGGTAGAGTCAAGGCAGATTTGTCAGAGGATAAAAGTACTGTGTATTTAATTATTTGTCAGGCACAGCTAAGTAAAACACAAAACATAGGAAATCAGAGCAATAGTGAAGTCTGGGGGTAATTTGCATGCATTTCTTAGAAAAAAACTATCATTTGAAAAAAAATACCAGCAAAGAGAATAAACTTTCTTGGCCGTTTTATGTTCCTCGCGACTTCTAGTCCAGGGATGTTTGGCGTTCTCCGGTCGTTAGATAATTATTGGCCGTCCTGCACAGGCCAACGAGCTCATCAAGTACTCAGGCGGAGCTGAGGGCAGCTGAGACAAGGAGGGGCTTCAATGGCTTTGGGGTGGGACTGTCAGCAGCAGCAGAATCAGCAGCAGCTGCGGGCTGGCGCGGAAAGGAAGGGCGCTGGAGGTCCTCCGAGAGGCCCTTTGCCAAGGCCACAGCCCCGACCAGAAACAGTCCCAAGCCGTCTAGCTCAGCAGGGCGCGGCCCGAGCGCAAGGGCCTCGCTCTGAAGAGGTGGGACTTTCCCCACCGGAAGTGATCCGGTCCAGTCTCGGGGAACTGGGGCACCTCAAGCTAGTGTGTCAGGGAAACCCTTCCGGGTGTGTGCTGGGGGTGGG